ATCAGTAAAAGGATTTGATGAACGACAATATGGGAAATACTGTACCACATATGATAAACTCTTTCTAATACTGACAACAGCTAAACTTCCCATACGTTAACAATCATGATTCTTTTTGACGAAATTTTGATCATAAGAGGAAAATCATGGAAAAAAAGAAAAGTAAAAGTTAAGCATAAAACGAATTAAGGTGAGGGGTGTGTGGGGGGTTGTTTCTGATAAAGCCTCCCTCACCTTCCCCCTCCTCCTCCTGCTTCCTCCTTTTCCACCGTTGTTATCTCATTCTCTATTTCTATTCCTTCTTCCTCCTTACTCCCTTCCGACCCTCCCTTTACCCTCACTTCCTCCCTCTACTCCCATTCCATACCTCTTCCGTTCCCCATCTCTATCCACCACCTGCCCCCTTTTTCTTTTAATTTTTCTTCCTCACACTAGCGTACTCCCCTTTTCTTCTTCCTTCTATCCCCAATCTTCCCTCCACTACATCCTTCCTTCCCTTCTTACCCTACCTACTTTATTCTGTCCATATATCCCTATCTCCTCCTCTCCCTTCTCCTTTCTCTCTCATATTCCTTCCTTCTTCCTTCTTTTCTTTTCCTTCCTTCCTTCTCCTTTCTTTCCACCTCCCCTATCGGTCCTTATCCCCTACCAACCCCAATAATCCCCCTCTCTCTATCTCCCTCCCATTCCCCTGTGTCCTTCTCCCCTCTCTATGTCCTTCTTTCTCACCCCACTCCCCATCCTCCCCTATCTTCACCCCTACCCCCTCACACGGCGGCCCCTTTAACCGATAAAGTACACCTTAAGTTTCATTATATTTCGTTAAGTTCGTCTGTCGGCTGTCGGGATGATTACGCCGTTGGTCCTGAATGGCAGTGTGGGTCTGTGTCGTCTACCAAAGCCTCCACACTCCGGCTTAGGCCAACAGATAACGCTTTTGACTCTACCTCGTCCGTGTTGTTAGTGATGTCCTCTCTCTCTCTCTGTTAAAACGAGTGTGTTGACTTTGTATGGTGTTGCATCGCCTGGAATGAGCTTCTATGGTCGTGAGCTTGTTGCGTCTTACAATGTGTTACCCGATATGTTTGTGTTGTTGTGTAGCGTCGCCTGTGTTGTGTAGCGTCGCCTGTGCTTGTGTAGCGTCGACAGTGTTGTGTAGCGTCGCCAGTGTTGTAGCGTCGCTCTGGGTCTTACACTGTAGTGACGTGTGTATATTGGCTTACTAAGGGTTGGACACGTGCGCAAGACGGTGTGTTAGCTTTTACGAGATGGAAAAGTATCTCGTCTCTCATGAGTGTTGGACACGTGTCTTGGCTTATGACTGTTGGATACGTGTTGGATATACAGTGTGTTAGCGTCTATGTAGAGTAAACTTATGTGGTGGGTCAATGTTGTGTCTGAGTGTGTGTGGCGTCATCCCCGGGCTGTGTGGCTCGTGTGCGGACGTGTAAACTGTGACCTAAAACTGCTTTCATGGGATTTAGGTCGCGTGTGTCAGCGGGTATAGGCGTGTCCGTGCGTGTGTTTGGTTGCCTGTTTTTATTCTAAGTCTGCATGTCGGCTTTGGTATTTAACCCTCGGTTGCGAATCTTGCATGGTGCATACTCTAGTGGTTGTACATGTTGCAGGGCTGCATAACGAGCATGTTGCGTGTACCACATAATCACTAAGCTGAGGCCGTCCTTCCTTGTCTTGGCGTAACTAATTTATGAGTTTGCGTGCGTCTCACCCCAACAGTTCCTTTCCTACGCGGTGGTGTGTGTGTGTGTGTGTGTGTGTGTGTGTGTGTGTGTGTTCACAAGAGTATATAAATAAAAAATTCTACGACTACATTTTAAATAGTACTTATGGGAAATCAGTATCTAACTTTACTTGTAGAAACGGGAGTATATAATTTTGTCTATATATCGAAACTTAACATAAAGATTTAACTTGGTAATGCTATCTTTTGAGTGGAAGCAGAACAAGTTTAGGATGTTAAGTTGATTCCTTCCACCAACTTCCATACCTTCCATAATCTCTGTGGTACCATATCTTTCTGAGCGATCATTCCCTTATACTACCATATTTTCATAGTCTCATAGCGTCACAGACAACCGTATTTCCATGTTACCTTACTCTACACGTATTACCATCATCCACCTACCTATACACAGGCACCATAACCCCACATACAACCAGACACCTGTACGCATCACACACTCATACTTTTATACCCCGATACACTACAGTACAACAATAATCCTACACACAACCGTACTACCATACAATACCCCCTTACCATACACACACTACCATACACCCTTTCTCCTTACGTAATGTTAAATCACACTGAAGTTAAGTTCACCAGAGCTCCTCAATAAAGCAAATCAAATTTTCAAGAAATAGATATTTTGTATTGTACTCCTCCAAAAATATCTACGGAGGGGTCGATGATTTCCACAATAAACACTGCGAGCCCTGTTGTCTCGGTAGTGTTGTCAAAATCCTTCTTCCATTGTGTTATATTGTCTAACACAAAATCGTAAAGAAATTTTGGAGTGAATGCTGTGGCCTTTCTGTTATTTCTATAGTAAAAATTAGTGATGAAGTGGAAGTAAGAGTGAAGTAATAACAGGTCTCCTGCACTTGGAATATTTCTAATAAGAAGAGATTCTCCTGAACTCTCTCGCCATCAAGTAAGTAATATTTATGAAAGGTTCCCAGGGGTCGAGTAGCACACCACTACAGCAAGACTTGACATCATTATCGACAGACACATTTATCCTCCTCGCTGGTCTGTTGTGCTTTTCTGATAATTTAGTTGTGAATATTGAGCCTCTGACAATCGTAGCAGATATTGAGTGCAATCATACTAGTGTGCAACAACGATAACAACAAAATAAATAAATAAATAATAATAATAATAATAATAATAATAATAATAATAATAATAATAATAATAATAATAATAAAATAATAATAAAAAAAAATAATAATAATAATAATGATAATAATAATAATAATAATAATAAATAATAAAATAAAAATAAAAATAATAATAAATAATAATAATAAAAATAATAATAATAATAATAATAATAATAATAATAATAATAATAATAATAATAATTTTAATAAAATAATATAATGATATTAATATTAATAATATAAAAAAATGATATAATGATATTAATATAATAACAACAATAACAACAATAACACACAATAATAACAACAATATTAACAATAACAACAAGAACAACAACAACAATAATAATAATAATAATAATAATAATAATAATAATAATAATAATAATAATAATAATAATAATAATAAAATAAAAACAATAATAACAATACACATAATAATAATAATAATAATAAAATAATAACAATAATAATAATAATAATAATAATAATAATAATAATAATAATAATAATAATACACACACACACACACACACACACACACACACAATAATACACACACACACACACACAACACACACACACACACACACACACACACACACACACACACACACACACACACACACACACACACACACACACACACACACACACACACACACACACACACACACACACACACACACACACACACACACAATAATAATAATAATAATAATAAACTCTCTAAGCAAACAGCACTAGGAAGACACACAGACACACCCAGCGCTATATACTGTTACAATATTACCAATTGGTGTTGTGTTTCAATAGCGGCGTCCTCGCAGTCATCAAGCCAATAGCTCTCTGACAAAACCTGGCTGTGTGGGTCGTATTGAGTTTGGGAACGCCAATACTTTTTATTTTATATATATATATATATATATATATATATATATATATATATATATATATATATATATATATATATATATATATATATATATATATTACACAAATAATTTTTTTAAAACAAGATCGTTTTGCACATGTCAGATATTCCTTCAATACTTTCTAGTTATTATAATGTAAACAAGAAGCTTAAATAAAAGAGACCAAGTAAGCCGTAGTGATCATAATACACGTAAAATACTGACTGCCTGAGGTCCTATTGCGGCACACCCACAAACCAAATTTTCATAGAAATCTATTTTTATTTGTTCCTGCTGCCGCAGTCATAAGGTGTGTGGCCAGATGGTCGAGTAGGAATTCCATTACATTGATAAAGCGATCAACACCATTTTCACACATTTTTGTAAGTAAGTTAATAAGCACATACATTGACCAACATTACATTCTCCACTAACTGTACTCTACGTAATACTTCAAATTATTTTATTTTTTTAATTTGTTTTGCAAGAAGTTGTAGTATTACTCAATTTACCATCACCCGGAGAAATTTTTACAAATTTCACCTCCAGATATTTATGAGAAAAAAAATTCAATACTTAAAATCACACTTTCTTAATGCATTCAAGTTTAAAAGTTCTGTTCCCAAGGCCCAACACTCTTTAAAAACTAGATATATTTAAGTGTGACAGCTGTAATGTGTCGTGTATTGGGAAACAAGAAGACGCCTCTGGTCCAATACCTATAAAGACAACTTTATAGTGGAGGCGACAAGGGTTGTACAATCACCAGACTGCCACCGTCACAGGGGGAGATTATCGTGTTTCCTTTTGTTATCTACTGTATAGACGTATTGAGAGTACCTGCTGAAGGTACACTTAGAAGGCTGAAGCACAGTAATACATACAACAAATTCCAATCACCTTCTACAATTCACAACCCCCGTCAGCCACGAGACACCCGTGATCAGCCCCCGTCAGCCGCGAGACACCCGTGATCAGCCCCCGTCAGCCGCGAGACACCCGTGATCAGCCCCCGTCAGCCGCGAGACACCCGTGATCAGACCCCGTCAGCCGCGAGACACCCGTGATCAGCCCCTCGTCAGCCGCGCGTGAGACACCCGTGATCAGCCCCCGTCAGCAGCGCGAGACACCCGTGATCAGCCCCGTCAGCCACGGCACCGCACCTGACCCCGTCAGCCGCGAGACACCTGTGAGCAGCCCCTTCAGCCACGAAACACCCGTGATAAGCTTCCCGTCAGCCACAAGACACCCGTGATCAGACCCCGTCAGCCGCGAGACACCCGTGATAAAACCCCCGTCAGCCGCGAGACACCCGTGATCAGCCCCGTCAGCCACGAGACACCCGTGATCAGCCCCCGTCAGCCACGAGACACCCGTGATCAGCCCCCCGTCAGCCGCGACACCCGTGAGCAGCCCCCCGTCAGCCAATACGAGACACCTCGTGATCAGCCCCCGTCAGCCACGAAACACCCGTGAGCAAAAGCCTCCGTCAGCCACGACACCTGATCAGACCCCGTCAGCCGCGACACCCGTGATCAGCCCTCCCCTGCCAGCCACGAAACACCCGTGTGATAAGCTCCGTCAGCCACGAGACACCCGCGATCAGCCCCCGTCAGCCGCGAGACACCCGTGATCAGCCCCCGTCAGCCGCGAGACACCCGTGATCAGCCCCTGTCAGCCACGAAACACCACAGATCAGCTTCCGTCAGCCACGAGACACCCGTGATCAGCTTCCGTCAGCCACGACACCCGTGATCAGCCCCCGTCAGCCACGAAACACCCGTGATCAGCCCCATGTCTGCCGAGAGACACCTGTAATCAGCCCCCTGTGAGCAGCGGGACACCCGTGATCAGCCCCTTGTCAGCAGCGAGACACCATGGAACAGCCCCTTGTCAGCAGGGAGACTCCCGTGAGCTCCTGTCAGCCGCGAGTCTCTTCAAGAGGACTACCACAGGCACCAGCTACTCATAACAAGGGTGACCGTGAACTGTGTGTTGGCTGCGTTAAGCCTCAAACTTCAAGAGTCATCATCCCTCAGTAGGGGAAAGATGCATTAGTCAGGTCAGGAGACTAGCACTGAGCTCACCAAAAAAAAAAAAAAATATATATATATATATATATATATATATATATATATATATATATATATATATATATATATATATATATATATATATATATATATATATATATAAGATACTGTATTACGATTTTCGTCCAGTGTTGGAGAGTTGTACTTATTCTCTCTGTGTTCGGTCAGTCTCTTCAGAATTGTTATATTATTTCATATCAGACATTTTAAGAGCCGTTGTTTTAATCTGGGCGTGGCGGGTATTATTTCACGTCTGGTAAAACTCTTTATTTTGTTTTTATAAAAGAGGAGTAATTCTACGTTTATTGAAATGGTTAGTCAAAGGGATTAGTTCCTTTGAGTCATGACATGTTTTGATGCAAGTAGAAAAAGTTGTTAAAACTTTAGTTCTGGAGTGTTCATTCAAGCTATATACTACACACACACATAATATACAGTATATATATATATATATATATATATATATATATATATATATATATATATATATATATATATATATATATATATATATATATATATATATATATATATATATATATGGTGTGTGTGTGTGTTCCGCTTATACATTCATACATAATTACCTCTTGTGGTTAGAGTCCTGTATGTCAAACATAAACAGAATTGTTTTCCAAGCTAATTACAGGTAGAAGTCAAAATGTGTACACAGTGTGTGTTTGTACATAACCAAGGGCGCTTAATGTTTCAGGCAGCACAAAACTCCTCAGCTGGAATAAAATATGTTTATGTGATTTTTCCCGTTTTTTTACAGTTTGTTTATAAAACATTTCTCTGAATAACTGCAAAAGCCTTGCAACAAGAAAACCGCAAGCTTAAACAAAATGGGTTCGATTTAAGTTAAACACAATGCTTGGTAGTCCCCTTTTGCCTAAGTGAGCCCGGACAACCCACTATCAAAAATGTAAAAACCACTTTTTTCTCGTCATAATTTCGCAGCATAAACTATTATTTTATATACGTTATTAAACTGTAATCGAAAGTGGACAATTATCCACTGGTGTCCTGTCATGGGGGGACCAACACACACATGCATGAGAGCTCTCCACTGATTCATGCTGATATTATCGTTCCAAATATCACACACAGGGTACGGACATTATGTGGTAATTTCCTCAATATCAAGCGAACTCACAGGGGATAAAATTATACCAAGTGCAAATGACTGCATAATTAGACTTGCAGCCACAGGTAAAATAATCCAAAGAAAGTTGTGTTATCGGGAAATTAAGTGAACCATTTCTAACTTTCTCTGGGGTCGTCACTAGCTGGGATCACCACGCCCTTCTTGCCCAGAGGACGACTGTAACCTTTAACACAGCAAAATGCCATACCTAAACTCACCCACACCCAGTTACACCACCCACACCCAGCTACACCACCCACACCCAGCTGCACCACCCACACCCAGCTACACCACCCCCACCCACACCACCCGCACACCCAGCCAGCTACACCACCACACCACACCCAGCCACACTACCCACACCCAGCTACACCACCCACACCCAGCTACACCACCCACACCCAGCTACACCTCACCCACACCCAGCTACACCAGCCACACCCACCACACCCAGCCACACCAGCTACACCACCCACACCCAGCTACACCACCACACCACACACCAGCTGCCACACCCACACAGCACCCAGGTACAACCCACACCCAGCTAAACCACCCACACCCAGCTACACCACCCACACCCAGCTACACCCACCCACACCCAGCTACACCACCCACACCCACTACACCACCCACACCCAGCTACACCACCCACACCCAGCTACACACCCACTACACCCAGCTACACCACCCACACTCAGTACACACCCACACCCACACCCAGCCACACCCACACCACACCACCCAGCCACCAACACCAGCTACACCACCCACACCCAGCTACACCACCCACACCCAGCTACACAACCAGCTACACCCACCCACACCACACTCACCACCCACACCAGCTACCGCACTCATTCTGCTGCCCCACCAGCCACACCCAGCTTCATACTACCCACACCCAGCTACACTAACACAACACCCACACACTACACCACCCGCTACACCACCACACCCAGCTACACCCCACTCCCAATGCACACTACCACACCCAGCTACACTACCCACAAGACTACACCACCACACACGCTCCCCGTTACACCACGCAAGCACCCCCAATTACACCACCACACCCAGTACACTACCCACCCAGTTCTTCCATACTCTTGTACACCACCACACAGCTACACCGCCCTCCCGTTACCACTGCCACGCCAGCTACTGCCGCAGCTGCCACCACACCCCATTTCACTACCCACACCCATTTCACCACCCGCCTGTTCTGCCACCCACCCAGCTACTACCACCCCAGCTATACTGCCCACGCAATGCTCCACCCTGTTCTGCCACACCAGCCTGCACCACCACGCCCAGTGCACCACCACACCCAGTACACTACCCATTTTATGCTGCCCACCCAGCCTGCACTACCCACACAGCTACCCTACCACACCTGTCGCCGCCCACTCATTTACACCGCCCACGCCTGGCTACTTTCTCACGCCCAGCTACCACCACACCCGCTACACCACCACGCCCAGCTACACCACCCACGCCCAGCTACCTGCCACACCCATTTTACACTACCCACACCTTCTGCATACGCCCATTCTGCCACCACCACGTGCTACCCGCAGCTACTGCCACACCCATTGCCACCACCTTATTCTTATTCTTTTCCTACACCAGCTATACTACCCACTCCACTATCACGCCGTACAGTCTGTACCTCGTTGCCCACCACACCCACCTAAAACTCACCACACCCAGCTACACCCACCACCCAGCTACTACCCTACCCACCTTGTCACACTACCACACAGCTACACCACCGCACAATGCCCCCAGCTGCACCCCACCCAGCTACCTACACACACCCAGCTACACCACCCACCCAGCTACCTCCCACACCAGCTCACCACCCACTTGACTACCACCACATCACTACACCCAGCTATACTGCCCACTATTCTGCCTAATCACACCCAGCTACCACCACTTTTCTGCACCCACTCTACATTCCCATACCTTGTTCTGCTACCACACCCAGCTACACCACCCACACCCAGCTATACCCTGCCCAGCTACACCAACCAGCTACACCACCCACCCAGCTACCACCACACCCATTACTACCCACACTTATACTACCACCACCCAGCTACACCCACACCACTACACCCAGATCACACCATCCCACACCCATTTCCGCCCACAGCTATGCTACCCACGACTACACTAATCACACCCAGCTACACCACCACACCCACTGTGCATCCCGCCCACCCAGCTACACACCCAGCTACACCACCCACCAGCCTCACCACCCACACCCAGCTACACTACCACCCAGCTACCAACCCAGCTACCAACCCACACCCGCTACACCACCCACACCCAGCTCACCAGCCCCCATCTCTACCCACACAGCTACACCACCCACCTTCACTACACCACCACCCCACTGCCATACTCTGCCCACACCAGCCTCTGTCCCACCCAGCTACCACCACACCCATCCCTGCCACACCAGCATACCCACATGTCTACACCACCACACCCAGATACCACCCACATAACTTCTCTTACCCACCCAGCTACCACCCACACCCAGCTACACCACCCGCACCAGCCACCGCCCACACCCAGCTACACTACCCACCCAGCTATACCACCCACATCCCATTCTGCCACCCACCCCAGCTACACCACCCGCACCCGTACACCGCCACACCCAGCTACACTACCCACCACAGCTACTACCCACCCACTACACCAGCCACACCGCCCAGCTACTACCCACCCAGCCTGCCACCACTGACTGCCAACACCCATCCACCACACCACCCACCCAGCTACCACCCACCTTACTCCGCACCGCCCACCAGATGCCGCCCACCCCCATCTACACCACCCACACCCATTTATTTACTAACATATTCCACCACACCAATTCACACCACCCCACCAGCCACCACGCCAATTACACCACCCACGCCAATACACAACGCCACGCCCATCTTCTACCCACCATCTTCACCACCCACGCCCAGCTACACCACCCACCCCGTCTACACCGCCACACCCAATTCACACTACCCACACCTAATTTCACCACCACACCCAATACACCACCCACCCAGCCACACCACCCACCCAGCTACACCACCCACCAGCTACACCACCCACACACCCAGCTACACCACCCACACCCATCTGCACCGCCCACTCCCAACATCACCACACCCCCAACTTCACACCTGCCCAACCGTCTCCCACCACTCACATCAACCACACCCATTCACCCCACCCAGATTACACCATTCTCACATACACACTACACAACTCAAGCTACACCAAAACCCACACCACTTCCCACCCATGCCTACCCACCCTCCTCCTCACCTCCCACACCCCTCCCCCCACTCCCACATCATCTCCCCACCCAACCCCTAACACTCCCCCCTTCCCTTACTATTCTGTGCATTCCCTTACTGTCCATTAAAACCAATTAAATATATTTGTCACGTTGATACAAATTACCATTGCAATAACCACCTACTTCGCCGTCACGAGTTAGTTAGTGATGTTTCACTTTAACAAAACATTACAATATATCCATTAAACTATACTGAAATAAGTGTATTACATGCTTCAAAAAAAAATACAAAAATAACAAATATACAAAAACAAATAAATACAACAATAAAAACGTTTGAACATAAAAGTAATCCAGATAATACTCAATGGTATAAAAATAATCCCTTAGATAAATTGTCCAGATGCCACTAG